GAGACCTATTCCACATGGTCCTGTGTGACTTTGGGACAGGGGACAGGAGCTGTGAGTGGCTTATTACTGGCAAATTCCTTCATCTGTTCTTTTTTACGAGTCCCTGGGAGCTGCCAGCCATGGGGATCAGCAGGGTGTTGGAGCTGGGGCTCCTACAGGTGCCATAGGGGGCAGGACTGGGGTTCAGCTCCAGGGCAGGACACAGGGAATTTTTCAGGACATGGTTCCTGAGGGTTGGGCTGCCTATAGCTGTGCTGGGCTGGGAACACGAGCTGCTGCAGGAGCCCCAGCTGGTGGGGACCCCCCCTTCTGGCAGGGGGAACAGGGTGAAGAGCTGACTTTCGGACAGCAGTGAGCCTGCAGTGCTGATTGCATCACATGGCTGTGCCAGAGCAGGGACTCCCTCCATCCAAACCCCCTGAGCTGACTGAGGTGACCTGGGAGGATAGTTCAGCCACAGCCTCACTCCTCTTCCCTGCCCTTCACATCACAGAGGGCTGGGGGAAGGGGGCAGGGGAGACACTGCACCCTGTGATTTCCAGGTCTCGTAACCCCCCGTGGACACCCGACTCCTTCAGCCCCACACACCCAGCACTGACAGCAGCCACCTCGCACAGCAATGGCCACATCACCCTTCTCCTCTTTGGGGAATGCGCAGACACCTCTCAGGAAACATGAATTAGCAGCCCTGGAATGTCTAATTGAACAATTCTTGAGTTTAAAACTCAAATTCCCTCGTAGGACCCTGTAAACTGTTGGGATTTGGGCTCTGCTTTCATTGTGCTCATCCCTGTGTCTCCCCAGGGGCTGCCATCGACAGCAAAAGCTCGGAGGAGAAGAGGGTGTAGGACAGCCTGGAGCAATGTCTGTTGATGATTTGGGCTCAGGGTGAGACACGGAGCCAACAGGGCTGTGGGCTCACTGGGGTGCAAGCCTTGTGAGCCCCATTCCCACAGGGAGCACCCCAGGAGGGCCAGACTGGGATGCCAGTGCCTTTTGATTTGCCTGCTTCTTCCCCCATGACTCACACATGTGGGCAGCCTGTTATTATCCTGCTTTATTGGATTTCCAGCCCTGGGGAAGAGCTGGATCCCTTGTCAGAGCTATTGCCTGTCTGACTCCCCAGGCAAGGCGGGGAGGGCACCCCGAGAAATGGCAGCGAGCCCCTGCCCTGCACTCGATCTGTGGGGGCCTGGGGTGGGATGTCCTCAGTGGTGCTCTCATCTCCCTCTTATCCTGGCCATACAACCATTTTGTCTTAGCTTCCTAAAGCTGAAAGGCAGGTGTCCTCTCTGCTTTGGTGGGAAATTGCATTGCAAGACTTTAGTGGGTGAGGAAGGATATTTTTCACAGAAAGAGAATGGTTTGGTTTAGAAGGAATCTACCCACAAGACCATCTCATTCCAACCCCCTGGGACACCTTCCACTAGGCCAAGTTGCTCCAAGCCCCGTCCAACCTGGCCTTGAACACTTCCAGGGTTGGGCCACACAAGTCCCATCTCCACCTGCTGTGCCTGCAGGCTCCCAGCTCCAGGGGCTCTGTCTCTCACCTGGCTGGCTCCGGGATGTGTGTCCCCAAGTGCTCTGGCCCCAGTGAGGAGGATGAGGGATGCTGCCTGTTGATGCCAGCTCGCCCTCCCAGCATCGCCCTCAGCTCAGTGCCTGGGTGCTGGTCTGAGATACACATTTTGCAACCCAGCAAAGGCACAGGTGGTGGATCTGGCTCTTTGTCCTCTCCCACTGCTGTGAGACACCACAGTTTTTGTCTTCTCATCTGGATGTGGTGGCAGAGAAGCCGTGGATTGATGTGCTGGGGTGACCCATCAATGTCCCAGCCACCACCAACCCTTCTGTCCCTATCACTAGCACCATGCTGCCTGGGATTTACATAGAATCACAGAATATCCTGAGTTGGAGGGACCTGTGAGGACCCTCAAGTCCAGCTCCTGGCTCAGCACAGGACAACCCCTAGAATCCCACCATGTGCCTGAGGGTGTTGTCCAAACACTCCTGGAGCTCTGGCACCCTTGGGGCCGTGCCCACTGCCCTCGGGAGCCTGTTCAGTGCCCAACCACCCTCTGGGGGAAGAACCTTTTCCTGAGATCCAACTTAAACCTCCCCCGATGAAGTCTCCACTCCAGATGGTCCCACTTGCTATTCACACCAATCTTCCCTTTTCCATAACAACTCTCTATGATTCTCCACTTGTTCCTCCTCAAACCATGACTTCCCCTCCTCCTTCCCACCTCATCCATCCCCAGGGTGGGGAGGTACCCATCCTCCAGGAGCGGGAGGATACTGAGAAGGTCTCCTCCAAGGTCATGAAGCGACTGAGGAAAGATGGGAGGTGAGCAGGAGGCATAAAACTCAATAGGCATGGCCAGAGAGTTGCACCTGGGCTATACTCCAGGCTCTCCTCACAAATGCTTCTACTTTTGCTGCTTTTGAAAGCCATAAGCAGGCAATGCTGGGACCAAATCCCAGGACCCAGCTGTTTCTCTCCATGTGCACCCTTTCACCTGCTAAGCATTATTTTTCATGCCAGTCTCAGTATGTAGCTCCCTGTTTCTCACCAGGGCCTTTGGCTGCAGGAACCTGTATTTTAGGGCCTGATCAGCAGGTCTGTGTGGTCCTGCCCTGGGCAAATGCTGGCTGGGGGGGATACGTGGTGGAGTGAACTCAGGATGGCTCTTGAGCTGGGAGCCAAGGAGGCACAACTCCCAGCTGGAGTCAAGGCACCCGTGGGAGACAGAGTCCCTGGGACCGGGAGCCCTGCAGGGCACCAAGGTCCTCACTTCCCCAACTGTCTGCACTAAAGCATCACAATTTTCAAGTCAAATCAAGGATCTGTGTGGATTTTCGGACACACTGGATTTTCAGGAAAAAAAAATAATTAAAATCTGTATAACCTCACCGGTGGAATCATTCAGTGAAAAGCTGAATGACTCCACATAAAAATGCCATTATTCTCTCCACCTGCTCCATTCAGGACTGTCCCATGCAGCAGGCTGGTGGAAGGCAGCTGCACAAGCCCCAGAGGCCTGCAGCTTCCCAACAAAGCTTTTGCTGGAATTCCAGCACTTTTCCTCTTTTCTTTCTTTTTTTTTTTTTTCAGAATTTTGCGTCCAATCTCTGCAGACAATTTCCAGAGCTGGGATAAAAATACCTGAGCAGTCTTTAGAAAAGGGATGTGAAAACACACTTCCCTTCTCCCAGTGCTCTGGCTGCTGAGCAATTGCCACGCAGATTTTCTCCAAATTGGGAGCATTTCTGCAAAATCTCCCAAGCAATAAAACCAGTTGAGCTTGGTCAGAGGGTTTTGAAGATCAACATGCCTTGGAGCTAGGCATAAACCCTCATTATAAACACCCATCAGCTTTATGCAAATACTCCTATTCTTCCTTCCATCAGCTGAAAAAGTTCTGCCTGATGATACATGGCATCTTAAAAAGAGGCTTTACTCGATGCCTGACATCTTCTCCCAGAGACACTTGCATCCCCTATCAATAAAACAATTATTCTCCAATTCTTGACTAAAGTCTGGGGTTTTAGTCTTTGGGAAGAGCCTTGTCCCCCTCTAACTGACCAGCTCCCAAGCATGGAACCTGCATGTCTCCCCACTCATCAACACAGCAAAGCTCCCTGTCCTGCTGTTGCCCTTGCCTCTGTATCTGGAGCACACAGGGAAATTATACTTTCTTCTTCATGTCCTTATTATTATCTTTCCTTGGCACAGGTTAGAGTATCCATAGCACTTGGTGTCTCTGAGATACCTTAGGATGCCTTACCCCACACCACTTCTAATCCCTCAGTGCTCATTCACAGCTCTCCACAAATTTGGGCTTCCAACTCATAGAACCATTTAGGTTGGAAAGGATCCTTAAGATCATCAGCTCTGGGTCCAGAGGTAACCTGGGTGATAACCCTGCACTGCATTTCACATGGCAGGCACCCCTCTTTCTCTGATGGGGCTGGTCATGGGCTGCAGGACAAGGTGCACCTGCATCCAGGGTGGGCACTATGTGGCAAAGAGCAAGAATGAAGAGCCTAATCCTTGAGGTCCAGTTTTGCCCCAGTGTATCTTAGGAATTTTTTTTACTCTTCACTGTCACCCATTAAACGTATGGTGAGCAGGGCTCCAAAGGAGCACCTCCTACCTTTTTTCACAGACCCCACCTCCACTTTCCTTAGCTCAGCCAAAAAAAAAATCACTGCAAAATGCAGGGCAAATGCCATTTCGAAATGTCAAAACTTTGTGTTCCCGGCTCCTCAAGAGAACAGGCATTAAGTCTGCTCCTGCAGGAATTCCTCACCTCCAAGCAGGTGTTTGCCGTGGGGCAGGAGAGGTTTCCAGGCTGAGAAAGTTGCCTTCGGGCTGGTTGAAGCAAACCACACACTCTGGTCAGCACAGTGAAGAGCTGGGCAGCAGAAACCCCCTTTTCATACGAAAAAGAACCCTTCCCACCAGCAACAAGTTGCCCCCAGAGCAGGTCACCCCTCGAGACCCCAGAACAAAGAACACCAGAAGACTCCGTCTATGATGTAGCATGACTTTAATGAGAAGGGGAAGGAGAGTAAATCAGTTCAGAGTGTAAGAAATGTGTTTCCAGTGCTTAATAAAAGAAATGGATAAACCCCATTCCAGGACAAGCCAAATCCCTACAGGGTGTTCCTCCTCCCCACCACCCCGTGACTATTATGTGTCATCTACAGCCTGTTTGAAGCATTTATGCCCAGCCAGCAGCAAATGCTGCATAGAACATGGAAATATAAAGCAAGACTTTGCAAGAGAAAGGTATACAGAGGCACGGTCTGGAGTGACAAGCTCGCAGGGCTCTCTTCCTCCTGGGGGAGCTGCGGGTACCCCCCGCAGCTGGGAAACCCAGGGGCATCTCCTTAGTCCTCTTCCCCAGCCTTGGTCCTTGCGCTTCATTTGTCCCTCCCGACGCGGCCACGCAGCTGTCACCGGTGGGAGGAGGAGGTGACCGCCGGGGACACCTCTACAGCCCGCTGCCCAGGCACAGCAACCCCGCCTTCCCCAGCCCCCGGGCCCCGCCGGAGCACACGGGGATCCCGCAGCACCGCAGGTAGCTCCCGATCGCCGCCGACGCCGTGGAGCCCACCGCGGTGTTCTGCGGGTAGGAGCTGAGGATGGGCCCGGGCAAGGTGACCACGACGGTGGGCGGCTGGATGACGGCGGTGGAGTCCCCGCAGCGGCGGAGGCAGGGCTGGTTGCAGCTGGTGGCCAGTGGCCGGGGACCGCAGGAGGAGGGCAGGCACAGGTCGTAGCAGGACATGGCTCGGCGAGGACGTGCACCTGAAAGCCAGAGCCAGGCTGTAAAAGGCAAGGCAGAGGCTGGTCCGCCCCTGCTGAGCCCTCACGCAGCGGCTCCCGTTACAGGAGGTGTGCGAGAGTGAGCTAGAGAGTGAGTTTGGATGGTTTAGAAACGCCAAAGAAAGGCTTTCCAAATGGGCAGGAGCCGGCATCCCCCCCTGCCTCCCTTCTGCCCCGCTCGGGAGAACGGGAGGCGTTTGGTTTGAGCTGCAGGTGTGGGGAAGCTGGAGGCACCGGGTGCTGAGAACAGAGAGCAGACCCTCTCCTGCTCCAAGCTGACAGAGAGCCCACAGCAAGCAAGATGCTCACTGAGATGCATCGAGTTGTAGCAAAGCCCCCTTAAATCAATACAATGTGAGCTGAGCTATCCCGTCCCAAAATAAAAAAGACGTTTAATGCCCTTCCATAAAGAGGGGGACATCAATCCTTGCAGCCTGGGTATGTCCTATTCTATTTTTTTTCCTCTCCTTCAGCAAGGAAAATCATGCAGGATGCAACTGGCTACATGGTTGCAGACCCTGCAAGCGCCGCATCCCACAACCCCTTGCAGTCCTCATTTTAGGGCAGAGACACACCCTTCCCCGATGTCCTCCGCAGGTGGAAGGGAGGCAGGTAACAAACCTTGAACTCCTGTAGAGGACCAGGCAAGAGCCTGGTGTGGAGGAGATGGAGCCCATTTTAACTTACCCAGGTGGAGACGGCAGCGGTGGCAGCTGGGAGCGGGTGGTGGGGCCGGGCACTGTCCCCACTGTTTTATAGGGTGGCCCGGCCCCCCAGGGGAGCGGGTGCGTACCTTCTGCCTCAAACTTCCCAACAACCAGCAGTTTTCTCCTGGAAAGCTCCCCTGGCTGATTAAGCAGTTCCCTCTTTCATCTGTCATGTTTTGCTTCCATTTAATACTGAGTAAGATTGAAATGATTTGGGCTACAGGCATTAATTACCTTCCTTCCTAGGGCCAAAGGACATTTTAGGTCTTTACGCCACCAGGCAGGAGAGCGTTTCAGCAGAATTTAGGGCAGGTGCATCCCCACCTTCCTCTCAGCACAACCAATTCAGCTCCCTGGTGCATCTGAGGTGAGACCAGGGATGTAAACTGAACATAAGGAGCATCCATTTGGAGTTAAATCCTGCAGTCTCATCGATGGCAGGAAAACTGAGAGGCTGCAGGGGTGAGGGTGCCGGATAGTACCGATGCAGACACAGGGACATGCGTTAGCCCAGCATGAGCAAATCATTATGGTTCTGGATCCACTTAGAGGGGTTGCCTTTTTTTTTTTTTTGTAATTATTCCTTGCACCTGGGATATGAATCCTGCTTGGAAGGCACATCCCATTCTAAAAGCAAAGTGATCATGGGCTCTGAAGTCCACCCCCAAAGGTGACAGGCACCAAAAGTGACCAATTTTGTGCAGGGAGCTGACTTTCAAGAACCCTTCCATCCTGCTCTTTGGATATGCTAGAAGGTCACAGCTCTGCTTCCTCATGATGGAGGGACATCATCAAGACATGGTTAATTACAGGCTGTGACACCGGGTCGCTGTGCTGAAAGCCTGTTCGCTACTAAAAACAGCCCCAAACATCCCAACCTGCACTTAAACATGAATCACCTGCACGATGGGGAGAGGGAGTCACAGACGTGGTCCCAAGCAGGGGGATGAGACATTGGGCTCTAAGGGCAAGGAAAGTTTGAAAAAGGCTTTTCATTTCACACCAGCAGAGCCCAGATGAAGGCACAAACATCTTCTGCCCTGGAATAAACCCTGGCAGTACTGGGACACATGTACTAGGCATGTGTGGAGCTGTCAGCATCCTGTTAAAGATGTGCCTTGTGGGGTTTAGGGGGGTCATTTTAGTTCTTAGGATGACTTGGATATGGTTGATCACACTGAATGGTCCCTAGTGACTCCTCCCTGCCCTGCCTGCCAGGGTAAAAAAGCCTTTCTAAGGTTCTGGGATCGAACTCGGCTTGTTTTTAACATCATTCTGGAAGGGCAAAAAGGAAATCAGCTTTTCTGAGGTGCAGCGGAGGACACATGCTTCAGAGAGAAGTAATCTGTCAGCTCCTGGAGCTAGTGGGAGGCTGTGGGTTCATCATAATCTCCTAAATGGTGATTTGGTGAGCAGGGAAAGATGAGGGTTTATTTATTGTTTATTTATTTATCTATTATTAAGCTTTACCTTGCTGCTTCTTGCACCACTCTTGAATAATAAATTGATGCCACAAGAGCACTTTAGACCCACAGCCTGAGCATGAAACCCTTCTTCTACCAGCCAAGGTTTCTTCCCCTTCCCTAATCGGTTTCCATCTCTTTTTCTTTTTTTTTTTTTTTTATACCTCTGTGCACTCTCATGATCCCAGGAAAACAACCCTTCCTGGGTGACTCCCTTCCAGGCTTCCAGGCACAGTCTGAGATCTTCTGAATTGCAGCCTCACTGTGTGTCTTCATTTTGCAATCCAGTTTAAGTACTTGGGGTTCTGCTCACAGTGGAACATCATGTCCCAGAATAACATCCAGAGATGGAATGATGCTTGGAATAAATGCAAATGGGGCATGAGAGGGAATGTTGTTGAATGTGAGCAGATCCATGAACTGAAACAAGTCCTTTTCCTGGAAAAGGGGACAGGGGAAACAAAAGGCACATGTCAGGAATTTAAAATAATCAGATTTGTGTAAAGAATGAGACTGAAAAAAAAGGAAAACCATAGGGGAAAGAGATAAACAAGGACTGTTTTTTCCAACCCCTGTTCATTTCAGGGAATGAGCACTTTCTGCTTGAGATGTGACTTTCTCTGGAGGAACCTCAAACCTGAGAAAATTTCACCAGACCAAACACGTCAGACCCATTTTAACTTCTGCATGGATTCGGGATGTGCGGCCACCTCAGCCCTGCCTCTCCCTGCAGATAAGGACACGAGGAGAAGCATGACCCAGGACCAACAATCCATGTGTTTCCCTTCCCATCACCAGCCCCAGCAGCACTTTGCAACTCCAATTTCCCCACTTTGCATTTTGATTTCCAGCAACCCAAGGTTTGGATGTCTCTGAGACTGGCTGGAAGGCAGGAGCTAGCCCCTGTACCAAAATTTCTCCTGAAAGGCAAAGGCAAGGGCACATTTTGAAGTAGCAACAGACCCACTGCATTCTATCTCCAAGGAACATCTGCATCCAGGGCACTTGCCCAGGGCTTGCCTTCTGGCAGCAGGACATGCAGGGACCACTCCCAGATGGCTGATGGATGAGTGGGACACCCCAGTGCCAGGAGGCAGCATCCTGATGCAGACAGATCCAGGCACGGAGCATCCTGGCTGCCTGTGTCCTTGTCAGGGCAGGCTCGGGGTGCTCCAGGGCCACTGTGTGCAGCCCAGGGAACAGAGCCCAGCCGGTGCCACTGGGGAGAGCCAGGCTCCGGCTGCCAGGTGTTGTCCTGGGGCTGCAGATGATCCAGTTTCCTGCCGCCACCCAATCCCTATAATTGCCGGGTCCCCGGGTGGGCTGATGCTCCACAGCATCAGCAATGCTGGCACATTCCCTTCAGGAGGACTCGTCACCACTCACCAGGGCAGGGACATGCATGTGCCAGGGCAAGGCTGAAGGATGTCCTCCTCCAGCCACTTCGGCTCCTCTCCCGGCTGCCTCTGCCCTGCAAGTACCCACGTCCCTTCCTGTGACAGCAACCCCCATGCTGTGCCTGCACCCACCACCCTGGCCCATTTCACCACCTCCACCTGCAAGTTGGTCTCTCTCCAGGGCTGCACCCAAACCCATGCCTTTCCCTAGGAAATCTCCCACATACCCCTTGCAAGGCACCTGGCTGTCCAGGCAAGGACATCCCTCTTTCCCCAGGGTGGCAGAACTGGCCAAGCACCACAGCACCTCACGGCAGCAGAATGGGATGGGGCTGGTGTTTCCCTGCTGCCTGATCCTGGTTTCTGGCTTGGGAGAAGCTGACAGAGGGGAAGCAGCTCCCTGCTGGTCCCCACATCTCCCCAGGCCGTGGGAAGGAAATGTTGTCGCAGCAAAGATCAAAAAAGTGTGGGCAGCTAAGCCTGAGCATCCTCACCTTACCTCGAAGCCACGGCATTGCTTGGCCACATCATCAGTGGAAAGGAGTAGGGAGTAGGGAAGGCACTGGCAAGGCTGGCACAGTGCGTTTCCTCAGGTGCACTGAAGCACAGACACGCTCTGCCAAATGCGGGGCTTCCTCCTCTGCAAGACCTCTGGGATCCCAGAGGTGGTTTTACCTCTTTCCTCTTCATCTTGCCATAGCTCACCCTCTTCTCTCTCCAGGAATCTACACCTTGAGCACTGCTGCAGACACAGGAGGGAGCTACCAACACGTGGCAGCTACACCATCCTCAGAACAAGCACCTCTGGGATGTGGCAATGGCTCAGCAAGACATCCAGGATGGCTTTTGGTTCCCATTGGCACGACGGGGATGCCAGGTCCTAACCTTCCCTGACCACAGTTTGGTGCTTTGCCTCCTGGAGAAAAGGTGGTGGGATGGCAGGAGGGCTCAGGGAATGGAGCAGGATGGGGGCTGCACTGGAGCACAGCCCCTTGCACAGGAGGGCAACGCTGGTCCCTGAGCAAGCAGGAGCAGGTTCACCCCGTGGGAGCAGCAATCCAGAGGCAGATGTGATGTGTACTTAACAAGGCAGAGCAAAACACAGAGAGCGGGAGGATACTGGGCACTGCACCAAAAGCTTTCCTTGTGGATGGGGTGGGGTCCGGAGAGACACGACGAGGGTGGGATTCGAACCCACGCGTGCAGAGCACAATGGATTAGCAGTCCATCGCCTTAACCACTCGGCCACCTCGTCCCCTGGGTTGGCCTTTTTTGGCAGCTTTTTTTTCCCCCCTTCTTTTGGCCACAGACTGCAAACTGGGGCTGGCCCTTCAGGGTGTCCTCTGGTGAGCCAGGCTGGGCAGGCGGAGCCCTGGCAGCCCCTGTCACAGCAGGGCAGGGAGGCAAGCAGG